TGCAAGCTGCTCCTATTTGGGAACCGTCCAGGATTGGAGAGTAAGGGGAGGGGGCAGCTCGGTGATCCACCCTGACGGCCAAGAGACGTTGGATACGTTGGATACGTTGGGTGGAAGCCGCTCGGTCCAGTGAGTACGGGTACTTTTGGGACTGCTGGGTTCGAATTGGCCCGTCGGATGCTGTAGCTAATAACGGCGTTGTGTGGTATGAAGCGCTGCAGTATGATCCCTTGGTTTCCTGTTGAGGCGGGCTCCCGTTTTGCTACCTCGACCTCGGACCTTCCTTGCTTGATGGCTTGCCCAGAGCCTAATTTACGCGAACCGGCGTTTGCGCTTCTGGGTACGTAGCAGGTATCCGCGCTGCGCTTCGTGGTTGAGCCGCCCAGACCCTGATGTCGTCTTCCTTCTTTGGGTAGTGGTGAGCTTGGAGAATGGGCAAGCAGCTTGAAGGGCCAGGGATGCGCCCACTAGCAGCGGTATACACCACGTAGTTAGTAGCAGGAGGAAGAGGCAGAATCAAGCTGGAAAACTGGTGAAAGCCTCGAGGAAGCCGGCGGGAGATAGTAGAGTGACAGGTCGGCGGTGACGGGGCCGTTAAACGGCGGCAATGATAGTGTAGCCAGGTGATGGTGGAGCAGCGTCGAGTTTCTCGTTTTCAGAGAGAGAAACAGAAAGTGGATAAATCCTTTGATGACTGGCACTGATGAGGCGGGTTCTGTTGCAGTGGACCTTGGAGATGACTGAGCTGGATGCTGGACGGAGAGCTAGAGCTGGGAGAGGTGTCGAGAGCCGCGCAAGAGTCAGCCAGGATTGTACGGTGTGTGGCCGCCGGTACAAGTGATTAGGATGAGAAAGAGGTGGATGGGCGTCGTAAAGTACCACGTAGCGTATGGATAGATATGTGAATATGGACGTATTGCGTATGGTTCGGGATAACAAGCGACGGTATCAAAAAAGGTGCATGTATTGCTTGGGGCGCAATGTAGTGTGTCGAGGTACAGTAGAGTAGTATTGCAAGTCGGTAGTGGTCGGGTGTAACTGCCCTTGCCCTGCCCCTACCCTGGGGGTTCCGTTAGGTATGGTCTGAAATGCAACTGAAGAGATCAAAAAGTGGAAAACCCGATGGAAGCAGAATTTCAAAGTTGGAGTCGCAGGTGGGTTCAGTGTCGGTGCAGTACTAACCGACGGCATTGAGCAGCTGAAATTTTCACGTACTGTGCCCGCCGTGTATCGAATTCGAAGGTGAGTGGCCCGAGTCGAGGTGATGTCGTAAAGGTGAGGTTTCGTCGAGCAAACCTTATTGGCGTCGTAGTGGTTGCGGTGCAGACGGGAGCGAGGGTGGCCGAAATACGATCGGTGCTTCTTTTGTTCAGAATGCTTGCTTTGTGTTACTTCTGTCCGCCGCACTGGTCCTAATCCTGGGAGCTTGGGGCAGAAGGGGGCCGCCTACTACTATCCATACTGGACATCCACATCGGTGGAGACTCGGAACTACTATGTAATGAGGGTGGGTAGTACCTAGGAAGGTGCGCCCCCAGATTACAAGTGTCAGACTGCGGTGCACAGTGCCACCGCAAGAGTGAACAGTGAAAATTACAGAAATGCAAAAGCATAACGGAGAAATACTTACCAGGACACCATACGGAAAATATCACAGGGAAATGGCGCTCTGTATTAGCGTAAGCTGTATGTTCCATCCTACCACCCACCGCATCTTCTCACTTGTAACGAAAATGTTTTATAGATGATACAACTCGAGGCTTACTGGCCAATCCAGTTGGCATATTGCTGCATATGCAGCTAAGAGCAAGCTCAAAACGCCCGCACAAGGTGTGGCCTTCTTCCCCGATTTGAGGAGTTCCGTTACAAGTGAGAAGATGCGGTAACCTAGGTACCTACTGCGGACAGTGGTGCGTACCAGTCCAGTGGTTGCATGTCCAAGCGTCCATGGAGGTTCCGCGGACCTTGGCAGCGGAGGCAAATGACGGAGCAAGGGATTCCCACGAACCTATTGCACGCGAGCGCCATGCCAAAACCCGCACGAGTTTGGACGGAATACGGCAGCTGTGGGCAGCAATCTTTGCAGCAAAGAAAATTCTGAAAGCACGCCCAGAGCTCCCTCTTCCAATTGCGACGAATGCCCAGGCGTGCCAGGCTCATTGTGCCTACCTAGCGCATCCGTATATCCGAAATAGTGTAGCGTCGAGCTTCTACCTTCCCTTCTCCTTTCCATCATTCCTTCCCCTTTCTTTCATATTCACTACTTGGCCCCTCCCGCCTTCCTACTCCCAATGTCTGTCTGACTGCAGTGGATGTCCACGTCGTGTGGCCGAGAGTTGGGCTGGGAGATATCCGTCTCATACCTGAGCGTATGGGGGTGAATTGGGCTACAACAGTAGCCTCATTACCTTCCATGGCACCCCCTCACTGGATGACAGGGCCGTCGCGGATGATCTACACTACGTTGGTTTAGGTTCGTCAGGGACTCGTGGGGAAGACTGGCAAGACTAGCATCTCTCCAAATCCATCGGAACATTTCACAGTCGAGGCCGATCAGATGAGCTGTCCCGGGTCGTCCAAGTCTTTCCCTGTCCCTGTCACCAGGGCTACCGCAAATTTGGATGAACGCTGATAGGCGACCTATGAACGGGGCCAGGTACGTACTGTACCGCTGCATTTTTCCTTCAGCTCGCTTCAGTGCAGTGAGGTCAGACGTGCGCCGTCAGGCACTGCTTGTACCGATCGTTCAGGAGCCCCCTTTTGGTGTTTATGATGGACAGCAACTGGGATGGGAGAAAATCCCCCTAAACGGTGCCACATTGACCCTTATCGACGAATCACGTCTGTTTGGGACTTGGTTCCTTGGCTTCTATCTGTCGCCCTAACCACAGACTGACAATCGGGGGCTAACCACGGATGCTAGCTGCTATGAATCTTTCGAATTATATAGACTACACGTGCCTAGCAAAGGGTGTGAAATTATCTCACACACGAGGCCCCCCGCAATGTGCCAAGGTACGTACTCAGGCTTCAAAGACATTAGATCCAAATGAGGTGGGTGCAGGCACGACTGTGATTCATGATAGGCTGGTTGGTGAGTGACAGTCGCGAAATTCATCGAATTGACATAAAGCTGCCGCAACCAATCGGGTACCGAATTGGAAACAAGACGAGGGCCAAACGGTAACCTAGAGTCCTTGGCCGTAATATATCTCCTGGTGCCGGCCATGCGGTCCCGGGCCGTCGACTTCGATGACTGTCATCACCCGGCGCCTTGTTCAGCTCGAGCCTAATGGGGTTCAAACGCTGGGCAGAAGAAAGATCGAGACGGCTCTGCAAGATATGAATCAGGGCATCCAACGAGATGGTTCTTTGTTCTCCGCCCTTACTCCGAACTGACGGCCCTGGTACGTATGTCTGATTCTCGGACAAGCCAGGTATGTAAGTGAAGTACTCTATCATACTGAACGTAAAGGTAATTTGTTCCATCCTGATGACAGATCATACCGTATGTTCATAGTCCGTCTCCTCTTCCCCATTGACACTCTGAGACACTCAAGTTGACCCCACGCCGGATGCCTTCAAGTTCCTCTTCCTATGTAGATCGCTGCTGCCACTTATGGACAGAGGAGAGGGGTCAAGGCTCCAGGGATGACCTGATGTTTACCTACCCCAAATGACCGAAGCCTAAGGTATCAAGATCAACTGAGGGAAGAATCAGCAATTCTGAAACATGGGTCTTGGCAGGCGGGAAATCACCATTCAAACGGTTTTGTTGAAAGAGACGGCGTGATCTCACTGTCACTACCCATTATTAGATTGGCTGTCGCAGCTACCTAGCCCTTTAAGTTTTTCACCCCCCACACTTAGTTGCAAGGAGGATTTTGGCTAATGATCGTCAGATCTCTCGTGCATTTCGACACTCGTGTCATCAAATCGTCACCTCGCGCACAAACAGATCAATATCACTGGGTATCAAGAGAGTTGCCCTGCGGGACCAGTGTTCCTTCCATTCACCTACACTAAACTACCTTCGGTTACCAAAGCACGAATCCTGTCGCTCATTTGAGGAAGCCGAACCGAGCCGACTTCATTCTCAGAATCAACAATTCCCAACCGTATCGAATTTCCATGCGGCACGGACGGGGGTCTATCTTGTCTATACCTCGTGACGGACAAGAATTTCTCAACGCTCTTCCGTTACCCACATGGTGATCCAAGTATATGGGTTTTCAGGGAGCCACAGCCCCTGTTGACCGTTGTACGATTGAACAAACCCGCAAGCCACTCACTGATGAGCCGCCGTAGTCATGGAAGAAATTGAAGCGAGAGAAGGCTCCTCGGGCTATCGCGCGTTTCGATTGGAGGTAGTATGGTACCCGGGATGTGATGCAGCAGGATCTTCAACAGCACGTTTCACGGGTGAGGACCAATCATCTGGAGCTCACCCATGTGGTTGTAGCCGCGGCATTCCCAGAAGTTGACAAACAGGGAACTACGGCGCCATCTCCCTCCCTCCCCGTCTTCGATGCCGGGCACCCGGTCGCGAGGCCCTTGTCAATAACATGCGGCTGAGCAGTCCTGAATGTCTTCATGCCAATGGGGGGTTTTGACGCCTGATACAAGGTGTACCACTGCAAGGTATGTAAAGGATGCTGGTATAGTTTGGCCAAGTCGCCGAAACGGAAAACGGACAAGGTGGCCTCCAACGCGACTCGTTCCTCGCCGAGTCTTGGTTTTGATATTCTCACATCCGTCAAATACCTTCATCCGTTGTCTCAGATTGAGTGACGAGGGCCAGCGAAACATTCCCTTGCGGAGCCAAATTCACATCAGCAAGCAGCCGATAGCGCTTCTTTCGGATACGACCAACTTTGGCAGCACTAATTAGCTGAGCAGCACGCCAACGGCAGGTTTCGACCGAAGTTGCTGCCTCCTAGCATAGAAGTCAAGGCAGCTGCTGCTTGCTTCCTGTAGTAACTTTATCTTCACACCGATGGATTTAATTGCCGGGTACGTACATACACGATGCAAGGGCTGACGGTGGCCCGTTGGTACCCGATAGCTTCACACATACAGATCATTTCCGCCTCACCGACATTTTGTTACAGCAGCCTCTGGCTTTTGTGTTTAGCGCCAGAATGTTGGTTTATGAGGCCATGACTGAACGCCGAAGTTTAGGTGAGCACCACGAACCCAATTTTCCAGCAAATAACCAGTACGAGACGCAGCACTGGTTCGTTACGGGAGCGTGCCATGAGTGCTAACTATTCCGCACTTCCATTTATCTTCAGATGCCAAGAAGTATGCTGCGCCTCGTGTGAACTTTACGCCGCAAATTTGATAAGCACGCCTCGCAACTTTCGACGCTTTCAAGCCTTGAATCCAAATGATAATAACTACGTATGACGGATAGTACCGATGATCAGTGCCTGGGTTCTGAGTGGCCACCGTTTGATGCCAGGCCAGAGGTGTCAAGCACGGCGCTTAACAAAGTCAGCCGCCCCCGGCCGACCGGCCGGCATGTCGACACCTCCTGCTATCGGACCACGATTGTTGGCGCCGCACTCACTGGGCTGTCGTCGGTTGCCCCTTGCTCCGGGTCCGCGACAAGACCGACTCGGATACCAGACACCGCAATTGACCGAAATAACCCTACTACTGCTTGTTTTCTTTGATGTCAGATTCATCCTCCCCAAACACAATCTAGCGGATCGGGGAAAGCACCTGCATGCCGGAGCGCCAATGTGGCAGACGTGGCTGGCAAGCTTAGCGTACCACTCAACAATTGGCGTAGACTGGCAAGTTCCAGCATGCGGATGACTTGCAGCGGATGGCAAGACAGTACAGGCCTCTAAACTTCAATACCAGAGATACTCGCGACATTAGCAACCGTCAATCTCCTCTTTTGAGCGGCGGGCAGGGCCGAACGCGGCGCTCCGTAAAGCCATCATATGCTAGCCGATGTGTCTGTCCACATTCAGTTAGTGAACACTCGAAGACATTGCCCACCACTCCAACTTGCGAGCGTTTCGATAATGCATAGAATCGGGCTTGCCCTGTAAAGTATATGCTCTGCCCAGCGCCCAAAGAGGGAATTGACGGTTGCCAATCTCGCAAGTATCTACGGTAGCCCTAGAAAGTGCAGTAGCCGGTGAAAAACGACACGAATGAAAACGAGAAACAAACAAAAAAGAAAGAGAGAAAAGAAGGCGGTATATTCTTGCTAGTAGGTAAGTATCTGCACAATTCGGCAGTCACTGTGCGTCACACACTTCCAGTTGGGCTTCCGCACGGTGGTGGAGCGTTGAATGCCTTCGAATCCCAACAAGACCGTTTAATTGATTGCCATGAGGATCAGCCGTCCCCGCACTGATTCAACGACCACGCGCGTTTCAAGTCGGCCGATCTCCTGTACGAAAACCCCTTCACAAGAGGAGTAAAAACAAGGCGTTGACAACAAACCGGGTTACCTGCTATGCCTCTGTCATCCAGAAACGGCCATGCTAGTTAGACAGTACATTGCATGGTAATATACGAATTACTGTTTCGTCCAGTACCTAGAAGCTGGCTGTGGAATTTCTACAACTGATATATCAGTTTGGTTTTTGTCAAAAACGCTTAAACCCCTAAACGTCGAGTTCCCCACTCGTTGCGTTATTGTTAGAAAAGGTGATCAATATTCTATTGATACCCCTGATCTAGATCTCCTGAATGTCGGATACTCCTTGTCCGGGCCAATAATGTTTGGCATTGTTACGCTTGGATCTGGCGATGGAAGCTTCGTCTTCGAACCAGCCATACCAGACCGCCGGGCCTTCACTTACACTTTGGCGATGCAGACAGGTTCTAGCAAGACGGCGGAAAGACAAGAAGCACAATCCAAACATGGTTATGATCTCTCCACCATGTGGAAGTCTGTTGTAGGTGCTTCGGTGGTTACATTGTAGTGATCCCGCGTTAGTCCGTTTCTAGATACAGAGTGTCCTTCTTTGACAAGGCGAAATTACACCTGCCCCAAACATGTAATCAGCTTCTGTCTTCGAGCCTTGTCTACCTACGGATTATCTCACGGCACCCCATTTTTAGGTGCGATGGCGAGACCGTGTGCACTACTTCGATTAATATTGGATCTACTCTGATTCCATATTCCCTTGATCTTCGGTGCCTTAACTGCTACCGCGCTCTATATTCGGCATCCGTGTAAGAACAAGTATCATATCTCCTATGCTCTCTCTAGCTCTCTCAACTTTGTCTACCGTCACTTACATCCCATATCTGAGAGCAACTGTCCCCCAACCCACTACACTAGAGTAACAAGAACATTGTGGGAAGGAGACGGGCTATCCCGTCGTTACAGGTGGGGTTTTATGGATCCGCCATGTGACTCTGCCGTTGCGAATGTAGTAGTCTCGAGACTGTGCGAGTTTTCAGACGAACAGAAGACACCTTACTAGGTGCCTACCAGAGATGGATTGCTTTTGCGACTCATCATGTCTATCACTGTACATTAATAGTATTCCTTACGATAGAAAGGAAAAAAAAAGAAGGAAAAAAAAAAAGACGACAATGTCCTCACCCATGCCGGCGTTCCTCTCACTCTCTTTGTTTTACCTCCCGCGCTATTCGACTTACGGTACCTCATATGGATGGATGTTCCAATCAATCAATCTAAATTTGTATTTGATTGCCTTCTGTTCTCTTCCTTTCTTGAGTGCTTAGCCGCTTAGGTAGCCACTCTATTCACGAGAGACGCTAAGAGCCACTACTGCATGAACACAACAGCTGCAATCGATCTCTTTCCTTCAGGCACACAGAAGGCTCCGGCGAAATCAAAAGCAAACGACCGTGAACTCGTGATCGCCTCAGCCCAACGGGGTTGGGAGAAAATGTCCGCCCGTTTGCAACTTGTGAGGAGGGGTCTCGGGCCTGCAAAGCTACCTACCTAAGCGAGGGACGACGGCTGAGTGCAGATAACTACGGGTGATGGTATGCAGCCATCGTGGACGGCGTGTAACAGGGTTCAGCGCTGTTTTAACAACAATGACCTTCCCTATACCGGAAACGGGGGGCACGACAACAACAAGCAGGCACGGGCAACCTTCATGCCCCTGGACCCGTCCATGCGCTCCTTTGGGCAGTGGGATCCGGATGGATGCCCGTGAGGGGGCGGGAGCGCCCGCTGAGGTACGTGCAGCATCTCTAAAATGATATGCAGCTTGCAGCTGCATCTGATGATGCCCCTGTTCCTGATTCGATGGCGTTTTGTTTCCTGGGCTTGCTCACTCGCAGTACGCAGTGAAGTATTCCGTATCGGCACATGGTCCCCTACCGTACATCGCGAAGGCTTTTGTTTCTCTTGAGTTTTCGTCGGGGCTGACGCGATGCTAGAGTCTCAGTGACTCCATTGGCAACATAGGACACGCTATCCGAGGAACATGAGCATCGAGCAGAGCTTCGGCACGACCGTCACAGTATCTTAGGCTTCGGACCTGGAGTTGTTGATCAACCACCTCCCCCCAGGATTGGAGATGATGGGATCGCGCTGTTCCTCTGGCGTCGGCGTATCCGAGGAGTTTGAAAGAAACTGCGACTCTGCAAGGCAACACAAACTTCAGTCAGAAAATCAACCACAGGAGGGATGAGCGGGGGTCATTTCGGAAGGGTAGTATGGATCGAAGCTTGGCGCCCAGAGCTACTTAGGAAGGCTCACCACCACTACCCCTAAGTAGTCCGGCGATCTGGATAGCAATAACATGGAACCTCCAGGTCCCCTCCGTCTCGCGGGAGGTGCCATAACTTAGGTTCTCACAGTATTTTGGCCGAGTTAATTTTAGATACTGCCTCATCATCCTACGCCTATAGCACATGGCCTGATGGGCGGGAACCTGGTGCAAAGTAGTCAGCACCGCGACAGCTTCTCTCACTTCATCCTTTACCCCCCACGAGATGGCAATTTGAGTCAAAGAAGATCGCTTGTGTAAGAGAACATATAAGGTAGCTGTGTCAAGCGGAACTTCTTCCACTACATTGGAATAGCTGTCAGCGTTTTCATGTCGACTGTAACCAAGAGCTATCCCGTTGACTCAAGCAGAAAATGTAACTTTTCTCGGTCCCAATTTCGTCCGCCCTCCCCCCCTTGTCATATACCCTTGCCTTTTCCTCTGAAAACTACATACCTATCCAACGGGTAACTACCTGACATCATTAGTTGTTTTGATGGATCATGCAAATTCCACCTTGACGAGACCCTTTGAGGAAACACTGCAGCATGTTGATACGCTCCGCAGACTGCTTTGGTCGACCTGCTTCTCGTTTCTACCATACTATTGCCACCAGTGTTGTGCTCATCGGAAGACGGCAGGGACGGATGCGCTGGGGGCACCGGGTACAAGTCCGGCGCCGGCCGGGCGATTACTCAACGATCAATGCTCAGGCCGTGTTCGTTGTGGCAGTAGTGCAGTAAGGGGATCTCTTCTAACCCTAACCCAAAGCTTCTCTGCCACCAAAAGGATGCTTCCGTTACTGTACTACTGCCGGAACGAACACGGCCTAACTGTAATAGGCTCCTTGAAAGACGAATGAATCATCGGTCTGTCTATCGACGACAAGCACGTTTTTTCAACCAAAAGAATTGCTGGTTTGATCGTTGAACAAGTCAGGTATGCACGTGAAAACGGCGATGTCGGTTGATAAACACATGATCAAGGTAGGAATCACCTCTTAGAAGCCAGATACCTAGAGGTATCTTGCCAGCTTGTGTACTGGTTACCATCCAGTACCAGTTCATGGTTGAGTTACCTCCTAGATGCTCTATGAAACGGCTCAAACGAAGCGAATAGCAACAGCTATTGTGCACAGAGCAGATGACTTTACTTTAAACTTGGTTATACACCACGTCGTGATAGAATTAACAACTTGATTATGCCTCATGCTGTTTATCGCCTGTAGCACCGACTGTTCTCTACATGTCTATAGCAAAGCTTTTTAAACGTCAAATGTCAAGTCTCTTTGCTGATAAAGAACAACCTTAATCAAGATAGAGGTAGAGTCTATTCAGTCTAAAACCTTCTAGAAAAGAGTGCCCGCCCTCTGGTTGGTGGGTGGCGTGTGGGGCAGGCGACTGCGTTTCGGAGGTTCAGCAGGTTTAGGGTCTAAGACTACCTACAATCGACAGGTATATCTGCTTGGAGCTGCAACTTGGAACTTTTTCTTCTTTCTTTTTCTATTAGAATGGTCCGACAGCTTCACTTCCTCTTTGCATGCGTGAAACTGGCAAGCATTTCCCCCATAAAATGCCCGCGTCAATTCAGCACAGTCCGGAACGGCAACCTCCGGCATTCAGTGAAAAGTGATGGAGTAGGTAAGTGCTCCGCAGTGAGTGGTGTGCAGTGGACGGGAACAAAAAGAACGGAGCTCGGAGCCCATAGGGTGCGTAGTACCTCTACGTAAAATTTCGTGGCCTGCAAAATTTCACTCCTCCGTTTTGAGAGCTGGAGGAAAGAAAAGGAAAACTTCGGAGTAAGTTTCGTTACGTATTGAATCCCTGAACGGTGCTCGCGTAACTTATGCACAGGGGAGGATTACAGCTTTCGTTACATCCCTAGATCGTTACGTACATAAACCACCTATATTAACCCAGCGCGGAAGCCAAGCCTACAACCAAGCCTTTTAGTTCTCTTCTCTTTCCACCGACTTTACAAACCTTTGCCCGACGAGAAAGTCCCAGGGGGCAGCTCGACAAGAGAGAGTACTGTGGGAGGAAAAAATCAGAAGAACTGGAACCATACATATTAGACGGCCAGGTGATTAGCTGGTTCTCCAAGTGCCTACTTGATAGATAGGTAGGCTCCGTAGGTAGGTAGGTATACTACGTAGAAGATGCCTGCCCGTGTCTGCTTGGTCGTCGAATGCTATAGGGCTTTCGCAGTTTCAGTCCCGTCCCGTCCGCCAAGATGTTCCTGTGTTAACCCAGCAGCATCAGCTGGGAAAAGTGTGCATTCATGACGTAGTGGAAATAAATGCGTCGTGACATGCTACAGCACCTTTTCTTTGTCGTAATCGCGGTAGGAAATATGTACCAAGGATCTTAAATAACCCAACATGCTGAAAATTGAAATTAGGCAGGTGCGGTGCTCCATCCGCCGTTGATGCCAATATCGCAATATCGTTCGCTTTAGCTTCGACCGACGACGACAAAAATAACACACGATTGCATCTCATTATCACAATTGACTTTCCCCATCGTCAAGCTTACAGTGATCATGCGCGCAACTCCAGCAGATTTCGTCTGATGTTATCTTGGATTGTCTGACTTGCCTCATTAGAGGTACCTCCCCTACGTCCCTGTGCTCATCCCTATGATAAGTTTCATCGGCGCGAGGCGAGAATCGACATGATAAGCACAGGTAGCTATTGATATTCAAAAGTCATCCATGCGAGGATCATTGGAACGGGTACCTAGGTACTTGACCAGATGCCCCCTCAATCCCTTCTCTTCCCGGTCTTCTGTTCGTATGCTTATACGTTCGGGAAATACAGTGGCATTTGGAATTTATCTACAACGTCTGGTCGACGTGTACCGTATGAGTGCAATCATCGTACCCTTCCGCCACTAAACAGCACCTCGTGGCATCCCCCATTTCAGGCCATCCTTCTCCAACTCGCCCGCCAGCGAGGCTGACGATGCCAGTTGCCACATGCTGCCCATGTTTATTGTCCACATATGCTTCGCGGTGGACGGCTAGACAGCCCCAAACTACACAGCACCCGGGGAAATAATGCGCTTGTCGTTAGTCTGGACCCGCCACTGATTATCATGGGAATACCCTCTTTAGTCTCAGTGCTCTTTCCCCGGATGCCCGTGGCTGATCTAGTCGAGTCTTGCGAGCCTTGGCAGGTAACTCTGAACCCTTGAGACCCATCCTTCCTTATGCGTGTCTCGCTCATCATGAAATTCATTACAGGATTATCGGGAGGCGCCTCAGGTCCGATCCCTAGCTTTTCTCGAGAGGAGGTAGGTGATGACCAATCCGCTCCTTCCCTCTCCGGGCCCCCGGCCCCCCCTCTCCCACCCGTCATCAAAAGCCAGACTGCCATTTATCACGAGTCGTGGCTGCCCCTTTCGGCATCGCGCAGCTCACACGCAGAGACAGATGATCTCGGCTACCAGCTTACCTTACTAAATATCACATATTATCCGTATACCGCCTGTCATTCTGCCTGATTTGGCGATGTCAAGGCCAAAGTCGGCCCGCAACAACGACAGTAGGCTCTCAGGCGTAGGCTGGGGTCTGATGGAATTGGTTAGATATGTTTGATCATGCTCTTTCCCATAGCCCAAAAGTACACCTACGCCGTCGATGGGCGACATGCTGTCCGTATATGCACGAGCATGCGGTCAACTCCAACGACGGACCACGACTGACGATGTTTCTTTTTCTTTTCCTTTTTTTCCTTTTGGGAGGGTCTTCAATCCGGGGTACAGTACGAACGGGAGTGGTAGGTACCTAGCATTGCTGCACTCATCGAAGAGATCTTATCAATATTGAGCTTGCGTTGGACATTTCCAGCCAAGTCGTTTTATCTCGACATAGCATCTTTTCGACCAGACAATCACGAATCACCGTCATAATTGCAGGAAGGCGCCAAGGAGATGCTTTCTTTCCTGCCTTTTCTCAACCTGTCTGATTTCTCGCGACGAGAAGCAGGGTCTTTGGTAGCAAAAAGAGAGATTGCGAACCCGGCAGGACCATGACCTCCCATGTTTGAGTCTGTTCGGTGAAGGGCCGTCAAGCTGTCTCAAACCCCATCTTCACCGGTTTCAAATCACACTGCAGCCCAGGCAGACCTTGGTTTGTGCAACCTGACAGATTCCTTTTTCAAATTGGAAACCATATCGATTGCCTTCCAAACTGAGACCTTTTCGGACTGACTTGCAATCTTTGGCAACTCCATCTTACTCTACATGGAATACTCCATGTCCTTCTATCTGGCTACTTATGTTGACCACGGGTCATTCACAGTAACGTGCTCAAGTTGCCTCTGGCTTAATGGACCAACCGCGCCCACGACGAGTCAGCTAACTTGACGAAGCACTACGGTCCAGACACTACCCCTTTCCTTCTTCGACACGTCCAGCCACCGTTGTTCCTCTAGACGGCCACTGACCTTCACTTCTTTGGACTGTTCTTGTATGTCGTCAGATCTGCTGGGAAACTTGAAGTAGCAATTCGTGGACACTTGTCATGGTTATCTCACATGGTAGACCGCAAGATGAAAATGCCATCACGTCAGTTTCCACTCTGTCATTAAATTTTCGTTTCTCCATCTCACTGCTCCCAACATTTCCCGCTTACGCCACTAATGCTCAATTGTCATTGTCAATTGCATTCTTAAGACGCAGAAAACCACTTCTGCGTGGGCGGAGTGTGATTGATACTACCCCTTAATCCAAAGGAAAAGAGAGGCGTTTGTGGGTTATCGCAAGTCGGTGATTGTCACGGGTACCTCACCCTCAGAGATCCAGAGACAGCAAGCACCCACGAAATCTCCCACGCTTGAGGCACGCCGCTTTAGTGCACGTAGGGGCATGGTTCTAATGAGTGAAGCATAAGAAAATATGCAGAATTCCTATTATACCCTCTGGCTATCTTACAGTTTTAGTCACTGCACTCTGCCGTGTTATTTGTGCGGGAAAGTCACCCCAATTCTTTTTGTTTCCCTCGGTCCCCCATCGGGCTACTCCCGTTTTCGATGCGGACTAGGTTCCGTCTTAGTCTTTCCTACCATCTTATCTTACCTTACCATTGCCGTTCCTCTAACGATCAGCTACCTTGCGCCCATTATCTGCACCGCTTACAAGCATGAGCTTGGTACTGAACTAAGGCTGACGTTTATTCCATCTAACGATCATGATCTTCCAAACCCAGCGAGCCAACCACTGCGGTCAAGTTTCAACTGACCTATCACACTCCATCATGAAGACTCCATAGAAATCCATGGGAGAGGAGGTTGTTCTACTTGCCGTCTAGGTTCCGTCTCGGCACATCAAAAACTGCACATTGGCTTCTTTCTTCATGTTCTCAGAATCAAACATATCCCAGGAGAATGCAACGTGCCAGCACAGCACGCCTTGTTACTAGCCCGCCCTCGAGCTTCTCTCGTTCTCACTTGTTCGCATTCTTGGTCCGTCACGAGATTTGTCTAAGCGATTGCAAAGGGATTTGAAGGGCCCACGGGGAGCAAAACGGGATCTGGGACGGGACCCGTTATCTGCTACCTACCCGTAGGACTTGAGGCTACAGTAAATAGTCTAGGACTACGCATGTTGACTAAACAACCATCCATACAACAGCCAAGTCAAGCTGATTTAGGGTAGCATTTTGCCCCATTCTCGGCTATAATACCTGCCCTATCAAACCAATTGCGCTCTTTTGCTCGATTAGATCTTGATATTGCTTGCCCCATCCACTCTCCAGTCTCCATCCTCCAGTCTAGCCACGTCAGACAGACATGAGAACACGCCTTTTCCCTCAACTCACCCGCTCACAAACGCTCTCACTCTCACATCCTTGCGGCTTAGTTTTGTTCATCAGTGCAATTCATTTATTTTCTGGTTGCTCCTGCCTCCACGTTATCAATACTACCCAGCGCCGCGGTTATCCGTTCCGTCCCACTGGCTCTCTTGGCCGTCACTGCCCCGTAGCGTTTTCGTTTTGCTTCTACTTGTTTTGGTTCTGTGGGAGCAGGATCTCTCTCTTTCTCACTCCATTGCACCTTCTTTTTCCAGATGTTCACTATGATCGGTCCGGTTCCATTTCGTGATCTTGAACGTCTTGATGCCGTCGGTCTCACCTCTCTCCACTCAAACGCTAGTGAACCACCAGATGGCCCCTTGGCATATACCGGTATGCGAGGACGGTGCCATATGGTGCTGATCGAAGAGACGAGTGGCATGATTATTTGGATAATCAACACTTACCTAGTTTAGTGGAAGCTGCGGCGTTCAGTCACTGAGTGCCGGAAGGATTCGAATAGGGAACAGGAAGATACTGTCACCATGGAAAGATTTCAGCCAGCAAAGGTACCTAGATACCACGGATGGACAACATACCGTCCTCTACATGCCATTTTTTTTTTCTTGATTAAGACCAACTGTGTACCTTGCCCGGGCAGCCACGAGCAGCAGAATGCCATGTATCTTTGCCTGCTCGAGTGAGTAAACCCCACTATCTAGCTTACTCCGGGCGCGCTGGCGGGCGTCCGTCTACCCAAAAGATCCCCGAAACTAGCGGGGACCCGAAGCTAGACGGACGTACCGGATTCAACTGAGGACTCCGGAATCTCAAGGTTGTTATTACAGAAGACAGAGGACTCCGACGCAAATCTTTCCATGCTTCAGCCGTCTATCTGTCTGTTCCGTTCGGCAGGCAAATGCTGTTCTTCAACTATTCATCTATCCATCCATCCATCCCCTTCCTCCTTCTTCCCGCCCGTCCGTTTGGCTGGCGGCCAGTCCCGCCCGTGCCCGCACTTGCACTTTGCGTAACGTCCCGTGGAGGGCGGGGCTTGGTGTACTGTGAAAGATGAGGAAGATCGGGAGCAACCCAAGCACATTTCATGACTGCTAGTGAATGGGGCTAATATCTAAATGAAGCCACTATCGAGTTTGTCATGTCCGTCTATCCAACTAGTTGCTAACTAGTCTAGTGGTGATCATCCTCTCCTGGAAGACACTAGTAAACTATAACTCTTTCACTGCGTATATGTTATATACATGCAATACACTTCTTGCAAGAGAGCCAGAAAGGCAAGCCATAAGCAAAATCATCAGCAGCAGCAGCATCATAGTCGTTCGTTTGCTCGGCTATGGTCTGCCGAAACACAAAGAAACAGAACGGTTGTCTGTGCCTGTTCCCAGTTGGCTTTACTAACTCGTTGTTGGGGATCAGTTGGTTACAGGAGATAACTCTGGTTGGTTGGCTAGTTGGCTGAATGGTAGGTTCCGTTTCGGTGCGTGGCGTTGCGTGGCCTGCTTGCTTGAGTGTCTGACTAACTGGAGGAACGGTTGGGCACAGAGAAACAACGTGCTGATGCCGCCGCTACTAGTGCCAATAAAGCCAATGAAGCGGTCGATGATGCGGACGTAACCTGAAAACGCTGAGGCAAACAACGTACAGCGCCAGCTTGGTAGCGTTTAGTAGAAACTTACCTTACGGACACATGAAATGCGTTGATGGCGAGATACTGCAAGTGTCATGGTATTATAATCCTTGGGGGTTGTGATGTTCGCCAAGAGTGAACAGTGAGTGGAGGACGTATCAGTGATGTGGTGTATGTATCGGTGTTGATTCAGAAGAGTCTGGTAAAATTTGAATAGTCTCACTTGCGGAACCGGGATCAATAAATGTCCATGGGAAGATCTCTGTCCTGTCGAACGTTTTCCTGTTGATCTTTTCCCTTTTTTCCTTTTCGAACATGAGGAGGGAAGATCGAAAAACATGCGGGGAAGAAGGAAGCAACCAAGCGGAAGGGCGTCCTGCAAATCTGTCTGGTGGATATGTGCATCTTCCCGTGCTGTTCAGTTCGTTGTCCTCAGTATGGCTATTGTCATATTCATCTCTGCTGATTGCCCTCGGCTGCGTTGATACCTCTAGTAGACACTTGCTAATATTCAGGTTATCAGTTAGTACATCAATGATCCAGTACCATTCTTTGTCCATGTCATCCATGTTCTTTCACAATCCCTTCTCTCCCTTCTCTAACCGCTTTTCTCCAGGGTAAGGGCCCCTCAACCGGTAGTTGGCCGGCACCAACAACCTGACATGCATCTCATCGATCAACCGACCGATCTTTGCACCCATGCTATTGCCTTTCTTTTCTCTTTTGCCATCAAAATGTCTGGTTAGGAGGGTGGCATTCCACTCATGGAAATGGCGAGCGAGCGAGGGGGGATGAAGGAGACAAGGGGGATGAACAAGGGGTTGATCGATACTAGTGCATGTCGACGGTAAAACGTGGGGTTGAGTACCTCTAGGCTTGCGAGGCTTAATACGTTCGATGGTACAAGTTTTCCCTCTGTTAGCCTTCGCCCGAACACCGAATTCCCTCTTTGTTTAGTAGGTAGGTGAGGCGACATAGGGACATGCGGGACGTGTGTCAGAGGAGGCCCTGTCTTGTCTTATGGCCCACAGCCTCCTGCCGCAGGAGTAAGGGTACGCTCGAATCGATGCTCCTGCCTTACCGAAGCAGGGCAGATGGTATGGACCTTGGACACACTCCGTTACGTAGAGATAGTTACAGTCTAACAGACATCACTGGTGTCAAGCTTTAGAAAGACACTCCACGTCGTCGATAGTCCTCCGAGGAGGAGATCTTTGGCAAAGGCAAGATCCCAAAGCGTTACAGTCCAGTAAAGCTTGGTTACACGCAGGCAGGGTACGAGCGCGATTCAGCACGCCTTTCATTGGTTCCTGGGCTGCAACCAGACTTGTATCTGTCTGCTTGGAACGCTCAAGTATTCAAGTGGTAGGCATCTGCCATAACATCTGTTATTAGGTACGAGTCGTACAAGTGAAGGTAATACATCCTGAGAGGGGAGCATGTCATCCTGTTGACGGATCTCAGGCATCTCTGTGCATGTGTGTGTATCTGTGTGTGTGACCGACTTCCTTGTGCTTTCGCTACGCGGATATCTAGATTCAGTGGCATGGGTGAAATCCAGAGGGAAATAAGATGTGGATGAAGTTCCATTTCCTTCTGCTTGTCTGTTTACGTCTAAGAGCAATATCTGTCATTATAGGCAGCACCGACATGCCCACCTCTAGAAGCCTGTATGCAACTAATCGCATCTTCCCAAGGTCAAGTCCCACGAAACCTCCACCAGGCATGGTGGGCTGTGATTGCCTTCCCGTGTTTTCCGGGTAAACACAGCAGCTGTGGGTTAGAACACGGAAGCCGCGACAGCTACAGTTCAACACAACAACAATGTGTCTACCAAACAAAGAAAGTGAGTTATCACTCACCATTGTCGCAGCAAAGTCATACCGCCAAGGCCCATGATGCCCTCATCACTCTTTCCTCGATCCCCCCCACATCAGTTCTGTCACAGAGACATCCTATAGGTAACCCAAGACCTGTGCCCAGCTTTCATGATGACACCGATGACACCTGATTCATCATTTTTCTTCTCCTTTCGTGCGTTCTCTTCGGTCTTCAGGATGTGGCCTTCGGGATGGAATCCTACCTCAATCATTCCGCGTCGAGTTACTTAGGAACTATAGTAGATAACATTGAATGGTGGATGCTAGGTAGGTAAGAGAGGCAAATAAAGTTTGATGTTTGGAATAGGTGATCAATCATCTACCACCTGTCTCCCGTGATGTGTAAGTTGCCGTGATCTCTTCAGCTCTGGGTTGCTTATACCGGAAGGGTTGAAATGGGAAGATTGTCAGCGACCGTTGGAGGTTCTTGTCCTGGACTTACCCAGATAGAACATCTTGGTGTTGTTTGTTTCTTCGCGGGATGTAATCGCCATAAATGTAGGTATGGTCTGTGAAGAGTCTGTCATTCAGCTTGTCATCATGCCCTTCAGCTCAAAATTTCCGATGCATATAACGAACGCTCTTATGCCGTTTTTGCCCAAAGATGTCAAGGAGAGATACTCCGAGTATAGAGTCTCAATGGCGGAGGACGCAAGACAGAACTTGGAAGGGGAAATGGGCGAGAGTCAACTGTACCTTAATCTGGCTACCCTGGGCAGTGATTGGAAGTCACAACGTAAAATATACGACAGGAGAAATATTGTTGACTAGAGTAATTTCTCATATACAGAGAAGCCACATTGGCACTAGGATTTCCTCGAAATCGGGAGGGAAAGAATCAGTAGATTGTTCCGTCCGGAATAGAAGAGGTTGGCTGGTTCGGCAAAAAAGGGACTTCCAACTAACCAATACCATTCTCTTTGTTTTGGGTTAAAAGGCGAGGAATACGACATGTCACGTCCTGAGACTGCATGGAGTTTGCTCTCTTTTCCTGTCTGCTCCATGCTTTTGATAAGGAAATATGTTCCTATACGCAGTGACGTATGGTACGGTAGCTCGATAGACGAGATGTAGAGGCAGATACATGACCTCTAGCTTGCAATCAATCCTGATACCGGAAGCTGTCGAAAATAAAAAGTATCGTAGAGACTTTCAGGTCACCACACACTCAAAGATGAGAGTCGGAGGAATGGCGAAAGACATGGGGGAAGGAAACAACAAGTTGTACGCAATGGGCAAAATGCAATATATGGCTCAGCTACAATAGGGGTTGTTCAGAGCGACCTAGTTGGGAAGGCCTATATAGTTCCTTGCTGTCCAGTGAGTTGGGCTGAGAGAATATGAACGGTTGAAAGGGACTAGACTACCGTTGTTTGCTACTGTCCGTCAATGCAATGGGACTGAACAGTGGCTGGCGAGTGTTTTTATACCTAGATATAGAGTGAAGTTTTAGAGACCGCGGAGAGTAAGCCTTTCTCATACCTTTTCTGGCCTTTACCAGCCCATAACTGCCCATTTCAGGCTCGTACCGTAACAATTTTGAGGTTGTCATTGCTGTCTATATCAACGTCCTCTCTATACCCATAACCAGCCGGGCTCGGTAAAGTACAGGTCAATCCTCGTTGTCGTTGTAGTCGCCGTTGCTCAAGGGGAGATTCCCGCCGGTCTGGTGTCACAACATTTGCCGAGCCCACAGGGTACGGCTACTGCTGTATGACCGGCATCATGCACTGAACGGTCAAAATCTGCACAAGTCATATGCATTCAACGTCGTTAGCTACACATTCGAAGTAGTTATGTTCTATCTCAGGATGTCTTAGCTGGTGTCTGACTGGTCATCATCGGGGGGTCACTTACCTGGCTCGCTATGCCACTGGCTCTGTTCTCTCCGTTGTCGGACTTCACTCTCTCGGTCGCCTGGTCCGTGATGGGACAGGCCCTACAGTGTGAGATATGAGCGCACCAATCTCCTGATGCCTCTTGCCGAACCCTGTGAGATTCCTTGCTCCGTTCGCTTCTTCGGACTACTATGGCATGCTTCGCAAGTCAACCTAGGCATCGAGACACTCATTAAGAACAAAAACAGACAGCTTGCCAGCGAGATAGAATGGATTTCATGAGAGGGAGGGAGGTCTGTCATGCAGTACTGCTTCACTCAACCGTATCTAACTCCGGGTCTAACTGAGAGTAGCAAAGTTCAGCGCGGGGGTCCAAAGCATGCTTCTCAGTCCACCAATATCTATCTCTCAAGCTGCTCTCACAGTGGCCATGTTGGCAAGCATGCAATCAGTTGCAATCAAAACTAAACCATAGCGCTACACCTGTTCGAGCAAAACCGCTTGAGTAAGTAAAAGCGGTAGTATTGTGGTTGAACTAGTCCTTGTTTCTCAACGGGGGTTTTCTTCTTCATTTTTTCTGTTTTTTGTCTTTCTCCCTCCAAAGACACTTGACGCTCCGAGGTCCCAAAGCATCGTTACCCAATGGCGACGCGATATACAACGGAAATCGAAGGCTTTTCATGGGTTTCGACCTTTCCTCGTACGGTACGCTCTGCAGCTCAACAAAGCTAGAAGTCCAGATATTGCCATGTAGGTAAGATGTCGCCATGTAAGCTTCTGTTCAAAGACCAGTGGAGCAAGGGACCAAGGGGGTGCATGATGAAAGGGCCTTGAGAGGAAATGGAACAGCAAGTATTCCAAGATTGCTATTTGTCGTGATACCAATAGCCCGCCCAGACAATGAATAATCTCCAGCAGGTATCCGGTGTGTGAGAGCCTGACGACCAAACGCTCTGTGGGTGTCAGGTTGCCTTAAGACCCAAATGCCATTATCCAAGAGAGGCATGGATCAAGGGTGCCAGTCTGTATGGATGGATGGGTGCATACATGCGCTGGGGATATAATATAACAGGCTCGGTTATGGCTAACGGCACGCTCTTTTGACGGCCCAGCATGTCGATAATTAGTCGTCATCACAATATCCATGCTCACTTCCCCATGATTGACTGTCGGGGAACCACCAATCTCCCTTAATTGGGTGGTGTGAGGACCCGTCAGATATGTTGTAGTAAAGAGAATGTTGCATGAAACATGATGAGGCTCGTGACACCACCCATGATCTCGCTCCACTTCTTTGGCAGGCACACCATCCTCGCATCGCCCAGTAATTTTAGTAGCCGCCCGGCTGAAAGATAGATGGCACAAAGAGAGATGAATGGTGATTGAGACAACAAGAAGGATGCGCCGGCGACAGTCTGGGGCAATTCACGCCGGGACGACTGGGCAGTAAATCCGGATACCTACATAGAGCCAGACGCACCTGACTGCCTGACATAGAGGCACCGACCTCAATAACAAAAACACTCGCATGCGTAAGCACACATGCGTGGCCTACTTCGTGACCATCAACAGAGAAATGGCGTGCTTTCGATCGGGCTTCTGGTATGATTGAGGAGGACTCAAGGCGGGGTCGACCCTGTTGAAGAGTGAAAACGGTGAGCTCGCCATGGACAGCCGTCTGCTCCGGTCAGGAACCGAAGACCGGAGTACCGTGTCGCAGAGCGCACTTCCCTATCTTCGAGTCACTCTTTTCCATGTACATCACCAAGTGTATCGTGACATTGTAAAATTGCAGTCGTGCTTCTCATTGGTTTCAGGCGATGCTTGTCATGCGTTTCTGTCTTCTCACGTCTCCTTGTCAAACCGTAATACCGGGTAGAGGATCTCTCACGCCCAAACCTATCGTTCGTTCGAGAACATGTTGCTCGTTGTAATGAGTGGGCGGTCGCTCACGTGCTTTCCGTAAACGAAGAATAGGGCAGTTTGATCTCTCCGAGGTCATTCATGTATGGAACACAGATCATTCTTGATAGAACCATATCTCAGTGACTCGGGACCTTGAAAGCCTCCTGCACATAGAATTGGGAGCCAAACGACGGTAAGACGGAGACCCCGCGCAGTAAATTTTGTGTACAGTATTACAGTAAATGTAACCGCGATTCCATGAATATTCCCGTAGGCGACAGAGTCTTTCAGCTCTGTGTGTGCTGCTCCTTTGTCAAGTTAGCACAACAAACTCCCAGGCTTCCCGCCACCAAGGAAATCCCTCCCGCCATTGTCCGTACGGAAAGGGCACAGGGCGTAGCACAAGCTACAATCACCAACAGGGCCTAGAGGTCGCGTGGCGTCTCCTCCTGGTTCCTGGTGCTTTTTTTTTGTATTTTCTCAGATAGTGACACAATACCGTACTCTCCAAAGTACCGCTTTTTCCTAACGTCTCTTGACTTCCTCACGTCCCTGAGGCCCCTGTGCACTGGATGAGCGAGTGGAAGGTGAGACAAGTAAAATCAGGGAAGCGATAATGCAAAGTAAAGTGAAGCCAGCCTTGACCCAAGCAAGTGCAAAAGAAGATGCAGGTACAAAGAAAGTGTGTTATGGAGGTTGCCTTCTTGTGAGGCTCAGCATGCCAGAGTGCTGGATATCCGGATGTCTGCATGGCTTTCGGGTCGTCGCCTTGTTTCCGGCCTCTTCAGCTGGAATGGGGATACGGGAAGGATATGGAATAAGTAACCTTTGCTCGTGCTGACAAGGTGCATGCTAGGGTATGTTGGAAGCTCTTCCGAGGCTTCTATGGGACGAATTGGGGGAGGCAGTCCCTTGTCGGAAAGCGAGGATGGAGGTAGGCAGTGATCCATCTGTTAACCTTTTATCACAGCACCTTCTGCCAAGATTCTCGTAGACCACTGCGCGCCGGCGCATGCAAGCTGGTGCTTTGTATTCATGTAGGAATCGCTGTCTCATCTTGATTTTGTTTGCCTTCCTGGAGAAGGTCTTGGCCTGGGATGAATTGGGGCTCTGACTCAACCACCTTCCTCTTCCGCGAATGCCCTGTCAGCCACTGTGGGAGTTCTCTGCTCCTCAGCTCCCGTTTTCCATTTTCCCTGTGGCTTGAGAGTTCGTATAGCTCGAGATTGTCCTGGGAATAAGAGTCGCGGGGAAGCTGGATGACCTGCAATTTGTTAGAGAAAGATGGCTGATAGAGAACCGGAAATAGGCAATGCCGAAGGTCTTGTCAGGATGGAGGCTGTCATGTTGAAAGCGACAGAGGAAAAAAAAAGAGACAGGTACCGCAAACATGCAGGACATGTCGGCAAGGCAACCATGGGGAAAAGTGTGTGGTTGGGAGGAGACTTGACCCCTGAAAGCCTGATCAAGCGGGCATGATTGAAGCTTGTTGGGTCAACTTGACCTGTCCTCCCTCGGCTACCTTGGGAGATATCTGGCATGACGCAGCTCATCCACGGCCGCAACTCGCTAGGCCATGACGGTGAGATGGATGTAGAGGTGCCTCCTCCGAGGGGGTCTGGGCGAGGTGTGTCGAGTGTATCGTGGGCTTCTCGTTGGTCGCGCTTTGGTGGTTGTTCCCAGGCGGCGGTCGTCAGTGGTTGGAGGTTGGAAAGAGATTGCGACATGCAGCGGTTTGGCATTTGATGTGGCGTTTGCCTCTGGGGTTGGCCATTCAGCTCATGTTGCACAAAAAGTCCTATCGATAGCTCTGGCAGCGTTTGATAGCGCTTGGGGACTGGTCGCCTTTGCGCGACTTGACGCCTCTCTGACTCCTATTTTCATCTACATGATGGGTGCCCCTTTTTCTCTGACCATCAACGCCCCTACCTACCGTGTACACAACACAGTTTGACACATTATCTTGGTGCCTCCGTATTCGTCGAAAGGAACAGACCCGAGTGCCTCTAATAACGGTGTCAGGACTACCACAGTCGCTACTTGTTCGTAATGCATGACGGCGGGACAGACAGACCAGACGGTGCAAGTCCGAGCACGCCGATTGCAATG